TGATGGGCCTGCGGACGGAGGTGGTACGAGTTTACACAGCTTGGACCCGTTCTTGTCAGTGGCTCATTTCTAGATTTACCCTTCTCGTCGTCTTGTTGCCCCCGCGGACAGAATTGATACAAATTCCAGTCCTGGTCTTGTAGCGGCTCATGATTCCTGACACGTCAGCTTTTCGCTTGTCATGCCTCCTAACACGCTAGCTCCTAGCTCATCATGGCTAGGAAATCTGGAAAACGACGCAATTCGTGGAATACCAAATGTCTTCATCCAACCCCTGGTTGTGATGACCGTGGTCGCTTTGAAAAGCGCAACTCCGCGACCCCCTACATGTGATTAACGCGCCCTGGTCCAGTACTGAATAGGAATTTTGAACACTTCCAGCCTCTTTAGGAACCTACCTGTTTAGGGACCTAGAGACAACGGCCCTAGCCTAGGCAAGGTGGGTTTGAAAGGGGAAGCTGTGGAAGGCCGAGTCATAATCTATGCCTTCTTACGAGTCCGTCTTACTCCGCCCCCTTCTTGCAGGAACAACGAAAGCGCAAGGCAGAATCCATTCCATACGAGACTGAGGCAATTTTCTCATTGGCTGCCGCCTCTGTGGCGAGGTTGGAGGTGGTTAAGTCCTATGCCGCTTTTAGTAACAGTGGGCGATACGAGGATGAGGAAATGAGGAGATGAGGAATTGCTTGCACGCAACCACGACCACGACTGCGAGCCCGACATCCCCCCCCCCAACGCAGAAAAGGCTCAGTCCGAACAGGCCTCTCGGAGCTTCCGTTGTACAATTCCTCTTACGTGAAACAGCGAGTAAGAATGTGGCTCTCCGATTTATGACCGTCGTTAGCGCATAGCAGAACGCTGGCGACAATATCCATGGAGAACTGTTACATATTGGCAAATGCGACGAGTCCAATCAGCTAAAGGCCTTAGATACAATCTGAACATCATGCCGGTGGAACTCCCCGCTGCTTTCCAGATACTAGCCAGTGTAAGGTCCGTCTTCAACACCGTGCCAGTGGTAAGATCGGGGACGCCGAGAAGGGAGGCACTAGTCACGGCATCGCCGGTGGGTTTGCGACAGCTCCTACACGGTAATTCAGGGCAACGTAATCGCGGGTAACAGCAAAGGGAGATCGACAGGAAAAGGTGATAAGAATGAGGTAGAGCGATAGAGCCAGTCGAGAACGAAGAAAAAGCTGCGACTGCAAAAGGGAATCGGCGTACGCAAAAGAATCGCTAAATGGGTAGGGCATCAGATTTCGATTCTGTTGCTTAAATACAATACAATACAATTTATTGACGCCCGGCGGGTAACCCGAAAGGGCAGCTATTACAATCTGATTATACATTTCTCAAGATATGTCCTGATCTCGTCAAAGCCCATGCAAAGCTCATTCTAGTTCATGTCCTCTCTTATACGATTCCTCTGTGGATTCTCGTGGGTTAGTAGGGTTGTTAGTAGGCTGGCTTGAAGGCGATTCTCCAAGTGTTCAACGTCCTATCTTCGGCGGCTGAAGCGGTGCCTGCTGTCCGTGGCACGAGGTGAGGGGTGTGGGTTGGGTGTGTTGTGGTGGGTTGGGTGGTTTAGTCGGCCTGCGGTTGGTTCGTGTCAAGGCGCCCTGTGGCTATTGCGAACCGTATGGTTGCCCGAACGGCTGCCATGTTGGGAATCCAGTTTTTCTTATCCGATGGCGATTTCCCTCCTAGGTAGAACGAGATGTTGCTTCTGTGGGTGTCTGTGCATTCGAGCATCTCCGTTCGGTATGCCGTCCATTTTCTGCATCGGAAGTGGAAGTGGTCTACTGTCTCTGTTGCTTGCCCGCATGCGCACTGATCTGCCGGTGCTGCTCCAATCCGATGGAGGTAACCGTTGAGTCTTGCCATGCCTGTTCTGAGCTGAGCGAGCACGCTAGCGTAAATGGTGTGTTCAGCTTCGAAGCTCAAGTGAAACTGGACGTTTTCCTGGAAAACGGAATCGAAACGGTGATGCTTTTCTGCGGGCAGAAAAAGATATGTATCTATTCATACCTTAGGCAACATGACGCTGGATTTGGGGGAGTGGAGCTGCAGCCTGAGGCAACAGAAATGCCGTGGTTTCCGAGTAAGAAACCGCTGGATGTGGCGGCAGATGCACGTGGAATAAGATTACTGGGGTTAAACCATCTCAGTCAGGGTTATTTTGAGGGATCGCAGTCTGCTTCGCACTGATCTCAATATAAATTCGGGAATTATGCAAGAGACTGGCACTGAGCCACAGGACCGCAAAGCCCATCTGGATTTTGGTCATCATATCCCCGACGCGTACAATCAGCACCTGCTGACTGCCTCGGTGATCCAATCTGCGAAGCGCTCTCCGGCAGGATACATTTGGCACTTGGCGCGGCGCGCGACAGCCCGCTACCGACACACGACGAGCTTGGGGACAAGGAGGATCAGTAACGACTAAATGCGGATAGCAGCAACTGGCACAAGCAGATAAAGTATGCTTTCTTGCCTGCAAAGAGGCCGAGTTTGAAAGCAGCTCAACAAACACAGCATATATCGTTTTCTGACAACTCCTCCACACATCAACCTAGCCGCCCATCCCTTCTCAGCCTCCGCCAATGGCACACTAGAGGCACTGCGAGTACCAATCGTTCGAATACCGACAAGTGCTGCCGCTCTGGCAGCAAGTAGCGCCCGTCCAGCCGTTCCCCCCGCATTGGCCGTATCTAGGCGAGCAGTTGGGCTGAGTCGTCGGTTGCGTTCCGGGGCTTGTCGTCGGGGCTGAGGTCGATGTCTGCGTCGAGCCCGGGGCCGAGGAGGTGTTGGGGTTTCCGCCCGACACAGCCGCGTTGAAGAAGGACCACGTCTCACCGGGGGCAAACTTGGCGCCGTTGGTGCCCGACGGATCGGGGACGTGGCCCCCGCCGTGCGCGATCCACGTCACGGCCGCCCGGGAGCAGCTGTACGTGGTCTTGATGTGGCTCTGCTGCCCGGACGAGGGTTCGGGTGCGTTCTTAGACGCGCACCCGTTGGTCTGCAACCACTTGTCACGCAGCTGGCGGCCCATGCCGATGCCCAGGACGTTGTCGGCGGCGCCGTGGATCCCGAGGTATGCCACCGGCGTGGTACCGCCCGAGCAACCGGAGAGCTGGGCCCCCGAGATGACTGACACGGCTTTGAAGACATCTGTTGTGTTTGTCAGAAGAACTGAACAGGCGGTAAGACAATGAAAGTAGGGTATATCTACTTGGCCGTGAACAGGCTACGCTATGGCTCATGGACCCTCCGTAGCTCCAGCCCGTCGCAAAGAATTGGCCCTCATCCACACAGAGATCGTTCCTCAGGAGAGCCACAATCTGGTCCGTGAAGGTCAGGTCCTCGCCGCCGTTGTTGGCCCACCCGGCGTTCAGGCCGTTGGGGGCAACAAAGATGGTGCTGTCCCCGGCGAGAGACCGCAAGCCGTAGAAGCCGCCGCTCGCCACGTCGTTCATGGACCCGTCCCGCCAGTGATATCCAATGACAACCCGGTAAGCCTTATTAGAGTCGTAGTTGTTGGGCAGCTGGAGGATGTACTGCCGGTTCTTGCCGTTCACCGTCATGGACTTGGTGCCCGACGATGGGGGTGCTTTGCCGCATCCGGCCGAGGCTGACTCGGCCGTCTGGACGGCACCTAGGAGGGCCAGGCCGAGAGTGAGCACAGAGATCATGCTGTCGGGTTGGAAGACCGATGATACTCTCAGGAAGTGGTGAAGATGGGACGGATAGACGACACCATTTACTTACACAGGTGCATATATACACGTGCAGTGGAAGAGTGACGAGCAGTGCTCAGCGCAACTCGACAACTGCCGTGTTTCCTCCTTCCGCAACACTTCCAAATGGAGTATTGCTCGCCACATCGCCGCGCTGCACTTGGGATAGCTCCTGGGCAAAGAGGAAACGAACCAAGACTGGTGTCTTGCTAGCAAGGGCTGCCGCACCCGAATGTCACCATATGAGGCTGTAAGAGGCTGATTATGGTTGATGAAGCGCTCCAATGGGAATAATAATGGCTGTAGGAGAGACTGCCATTATGGTTCACGAAGCGCTCCAATAGGGGCTTGGAACGGGCTGATCTATATTATTGTTGTCCCTCGAACTATAAGGCATCCGGGTCCCTCTGGATCCTCTTTGCAATCACTTTGCTCTTGTGGCACTCGAAACTTTTCAGCAGGATAATCTCAGCTTTTGCCGCCGTATCCAAGCTTGGAAGTTAATCCTGATCCTATTGGCACACATGTAATGCGAAAAATGGACAGTGTCGTATCCAACACGACCATCGCGAGCAGGAATAAGGTATCTTCGCGTACAGGACGCTCAAGCAAAACTTCCCCTTTGGGAACGGAGCTGGACCGTTGGGGAAGCATTCCAGGGCTGAAACGTTTGCTCCGCTCAACTCGGCATTCGAACTCGGTAGTTGGCAATATCTAAGGAGTTGGGACAGAGGGATCTGCCAAGACCGTCCATACGCACTCACAGCGAACCCCGCAGGCCGCCTGCCGTGACAAACTCTTAAGTTACCTGAGGAATTGCTATTCAGATACGATCTTTTTCTGCCACTTGGATACGTACCTGTTATCAGCCGTCAACTTCCTCCTGAGCTCGTGTCAATGCCCCATTTGCACAGTGAATTTGTTTACACAGGACCACAAGTAATTCCTCCTTCCTCGGAGGACAGCTCTTTGACGGGGAACGCACTTGAACCTTTGCCCGTTTCTAGGGCTTGGATTCTTGTACCAATATTCTAGAAGCTACTGAATCTACCTGGAGTATATGGATTGCCGCCTTGTCCTTGCGCCGTCAAGTCCTTGTCAAAGTAGGGATGGGGAAGGGGTTGTCTGCATCCCACTGTTGTTGCCTGGTGGTCTAAGAGACGAGACTTTTTACTTGACATTGGCACCGGGACGGGACAGAACCCGCACTCGGCAGAATTTGCAGCGGTCGGACACGCGTTGAGATTATTGCGGAAAAGCGAGAGAGACTATGGACCAATTCTTGTTTCGATGACGGCAATGGACTGAACACCGGGCAGAAATGCTTCAATGCACGGATGGCCGGCCAGGAATGTAGAACATCCGAGGCCGGCTTCCGATGCTCCAAAAGATTTGCCGGGCGCCTGTCATCCTTTAGCAGCCCCAGGGGTAACTCGTCTTTGGTGCATGAAGGAATTGCACAGGAAATGTCCAAGGTGAGCACGGGGTTGACGCAGATATCGGGCCGTTCTTCTGTTCGGATATCGAGTATCACTTCGACATCTGGATGGAGCCGTGACCACCCTTCAGTTTTCCGGGAATACTTCACACGCCCAGAGCTGGTGGCAATCTCGGTATCCTCCAGGGAGTCCCCAAAAACAGCCCGGATGAATGTCTGCGCCCGCAGAGAGCCCTCAAATCGAACGTGGTCCAGGTGCGACTGGAGAAGCATGCTCCTCACCAAGTCCAAGTAGTCCAAACTCGCCAGCACAACCACCGGGAGCCCCATGTTCCACTCAAAGCAAGCGAGAAACAACCTCAGATTGACGCGGACCCCCGGTGCATTGCTTACTGGCATGCAGCCCTGGGCAATGTACGCACACCAGCCTTTTGATATAGCGTGACAGCCAAAGAACACCTCTGGTTCAAAGTCCCAATGGCTTCTTGGCATCGCTTCTTGGACGACTAGCTGCCCCCAGTTGACACGAAGCGCCGAGAACCTATTTCCCACCACTGGATCGAAGCCTGCGTGAAACGGGAATCGCACCGGAAGGGTCGTTGCTAGGGTCAGCTTCTCGACTAGCGATCGCCGATACTCCGCATGAATATTCAACGGCTTCTTATAGTCCTTGCCCAATTTTGATCAGGACATTCGGCTTGTATCTTGCATACAGGCCGCCGCCAATTTTTCGTACATAGATCCCAATCATCTCATCCTCATCGTGGCAGAGCGTAGTCAAGACCACCCCCGGCTGCCCACTGAGGTGGTCCAGAATCCGAAGCATGCTGGCATCGCTCTGAATACCCCTTGTAGTGACGGCGAAGCTGGCATACGGCGAGTCACCCCGGGCGAGTTCAATATTGCCGCAGCTAGCAAAGTTGCGCGGCGACTTGGCCAGTACACCTGCAAACGGCGGGCATGGCACCTGGTCGTCGGTCCAAGCAAAGATGCTTAGGTCGGGCGTGGTTTGCACGATAGCCAGCTGCAGTCGGGCAAAGGCCTTCATGCCTTCGCCGTAAATAAGGGACAAGTGGACGTCGAAGATACCAAGCAGGCAGTACGCCATATCCTCGATGCGAGTCGTCTCCGCTTAGCCGCCCACGACATCCACCGCGCGACTGCAAAATCAGACACTCCTGCCTTTTGAAGGAGAAGCGTCTCGGGGATGGCGGAGATGGTGCTGATGAGTTTAGCGTGCTCTTTCTTGCTCCCTCGGTTTTTCCATTCTTTGTCGAAAGAACACCACCTCCCGCGGGGCAATCAGCTCTTGCAACGTCCAGGCTCGGGTAAACCACCGGCAATTGGGCAACTTCGTCTTCAAGTCATCGCCAGGCTCCAGATTGTCCAAGAAGACGTAGCAAACCTCGGCATTCCGGTACCACGAAAACATGGAATTGATGGCCTCGGCCAACTCAGCGCTGCTCGTCTTGTCGATACAGCACGTGTCGACCCAGACGTACTCAAGTTTGCGCTCTTCGCGGGCCAGTTCGCATGTCTTCTGTATCTTGTGGAACCCGGCTTTGGTTCGCAGTAGGCTTGGTTCGGCGGAACCGGCGAGCAATTGCTGGAGCGTGACCTCGTCGTCTTTCCAGGTGTGGGAGAGGATGGCGTAGCGAGGGATTGTCGAGCCAACGAATCCCTGCATTAGCGGAATCTCGCCTTGGGACGTCTCGAGGAGCCTCATGGTGATGCTTTGACAAGTCGTGGTGAGTCACTAGCGGGACGGGGGTAAATGGTGGATGCCGATACTGAATTGGTTCAAGCTGTTACCTCTGGCCTCCGACTTAGTGGAAGCAGCTCCGATTTTGAATTGAGTTGGGTCACATTGTTGGACAATGGCCCGGAACTGAAATCAGCCTTGTGGGCAGCCTGAATATTATATTAGAAGGTGCATGGCGTTGGTTGAGAAAGGCTGATTCGCTGGATGCTTTCGTGTCACCTTGACGCATCAATAGTCCCTGCATATGTGATATAATGCAGCATGCAGCTCCTCCAATAGCTTGCTGAGCTGACCAAGCCGAGAAACTCTGCGTTGTGGGCGGTTCTCGATATCACGGCACTGGACCAGGATCCATGGGTCAAAGTGACACCCAAGCCAGAGAAGATCTTCTGGGCCGGGATGAGGTTTGACCAACCGTCTCAGTATTTGTAGTTCATGTGCTGTTCCTTGAAGTCGCGCTCGAACTCGTTCGGACCGTCGCTCTGGTTATCGTCCAAATCCTCGACGCGTTCACGTTCGTCCTCGTTTCAAGTTTGGTTGAAGCTCTCTTGCCCTCTTCAGGGTGAGCTCAAAGAATCGGAAAACATCGCATCTTAATAGGAACAACCTCTCGGAAACAGACACCTCAATACATTGTTCCCAACTGGTTAGCCTTCATTATTTTCCAACAATTATCCAAATGAGGAGGCAAGATACTAGTTCAATACAAAGACGCTCTATACAGATCCAAAGGCTCAGATCGCGATGGCAGCAACAAGCCCCAGCATGGCAGCCGCAATCCCAGCCTGCTCGCGGTAGGCTCCAGCGGTGACAATTGGCCTAGAAGTTGAAGTAGTACTGCTTGTCGTACTGTTTCCCGCACTTCTGGTTGATTGTGTAGTTGCTGTGGTAGAAGTGGACGTGCTACCTGGAGCGGAGGTGGTCTCCGAAGAGGAGGTCGTCTCAAGAGTCGACGTGGTGCTAGGAGCAGTGCTGGAACTCGGTGCCACAGTGGAAGTCTCCGTGGGGGTAGAGGTCGTGGTGGTGGCGCCAAAGTCCGGTGGCAGGCTGACATTGTTGTCGGCGGCGCACGTCTGGGGGTCGAGCCCCTGGATGGAATCATGTTAGTGTTGGCAACGCAATAGAGAAAGGGTGGGTGGGACATACCTCAGGGCAGCAAAGATCGTCAATGAGGCAGAATGACCCAGCCGGGCAGCCCCCTTATCGAGAGTCAGTTAGTCAGCACTTGGCGCTCAAGAACACAGGTTGACTCAACGTACAGAGGTTGCTGCAGCATGTCTCGCCTTCGTCGGGGTTGATGCAGAGCCTGTTCTGCGTCGCCGACTCAGGGCGGCATTCGATGTAGCCTGGGCCAAAGGCGTCGACGCAGTTGGCTCCCGGTCGGCTGTCCTCGTCGGGGTCGAAGGCTTCGCCCTGGCGCTTGTTCAGAGTCCAGGAAGAACTCAGAAGATTGTTTGCCGCATCTGCAACACCCAGAGCGGTGACAACGGCGATGAGAGAGAGACGCATGTTGTTACTTAGTCTTCGGAAGTCAACGAACGACAGGTAAGATGAACGAACGTGGGTTGGGGAGGAAGGATGAGCACTTGAGAGAAGTCTGGTTAGAGACCTGAGGTCATTTTTTACCTTGAACAAGACACATTTATAGCACCCATCTCGGCGGGCTTCCCCCATTTTCGGAGAGCTCATTCTCGGAGCCTCGTGCGGCTGAGATTTTGAATACAGCCAAAACAGGAAACGAAATTTCAGGAACAAGCGAACGCTACACTCCGCCCCTTATCGATGAACGTGGCGTCCAATCAAGGAACTTGAAGTGCTTCCACAGTATGCATCTCACAGACACAGCCCACCTATAAACTGCAGGCAGAGTTATTCCGCCAGGAAGGTTACAGAACGGGACAGTAAGACGGCGACATTTTTCCCCGAAGAGCCTCAGGCCTTCAGCAGAGAGACTCTCTTCCCCTATTAACTTGAAGTGCCCCAATCATCAATGGCCGTCTTAAGTTCCCAGGTCTTAACGACACCATCCTCGAGCTCCCACCACCAACACTTCCTGATGATTGAGTGTCATCTATGTGCTTAAGAGCACTGTCTAGCAGGGTTAAAACTGCTTCAATCCATCTTGTGACAAGTACCAGTAATTAATTTGTATATCAACATAAGGTATGCTCCTGCTCTGGCAGCATAAAGGGCCAGTCCAATCCTCAATGAGAATTGGCCAACCGTCTGTCAGTCTGCGTAATCTATGTGCACTTCCTTTACCTGCTCTTGCTCGCTTAGCTCTTCCTCAATGTACTCATCCTCGCCGTGGCCCCCCTTGATGTCCAGTGTCTGCTTGGCGAACTGGCCGACACTTCTACTTAGCTCGGCCGGTCCGCCATGCCCTCGACGCGGAGATTGCCATTATCAATTGAGAGCACGGGCCCGGGAATGGGAGTCGGCCTTTTGGCCTGGGAGCACCGACGGCGGGTTGGCAAGGATTCACTGCTGCTGACCTCGTCGGCATCTTCGCCGGCGTCGGCATTCTCATCGACGTAGTCATCCGCATCGTCGTCAAGTATGATCCGATACTCCGCTCGAGTGCTGACAGGGAGGGTACGTAACTCAACCAGCAGGAGGGTGCGATTTTGGTCGACGGGACCTGTCACCATGGGAGCCTCTGAGAACGCTGGAAGGTCCAAAAGCTCCGGGGAAGCTTTCTCGTTAGAGCTTGTAGCATCCGGCGGGTCTGCCTGTAGGCGCTGGCCTGAGCTAAACCCAACAGGCATCGTCATGATCGTTTGGGATAGTTAGCGAGTGTTCCAGCTGCTGGCATGGCCTTTGTGATTGCTATCTTTCTTGATTAGGCCGTTGTATTGTGGATGGTGCACAATGCTTGTCAAATGTCAAATCAGAGATAACTTAATCTAGAAGGCAATTTGGAAATGCGAATTCTTGCCAATGTGGTTGGGTTCACTGGATTGCAAACAAGCGATTCGGTGTTTGCGAAATCTGGCTGCGCACTGAGGCACAGCCGAGACTTCATTGCCAACCGTAGATGAAAATACAAGGCAACGGTCGACTTCTCCCCAGTCTGCTTGTCACCTCCAGCTGTCAAAGAAGCCCCTCAAGCGCGCTCCAACCAATGCTAACACTTAGACAACATGACTGGGAATCGCCAGCCCTTCCCTGCCAGCCCTGACTCAGAATCGAGCCGGATACCCTCTTTTTGACGCCTCTGCAAAGTGCAAACTGTGCGGCTGAACTCTGTACGCAGATTTTAAAGTCTGCGCCAAACCAGTTTGTTTGACCTGCACGTTGTCCTCCTGTAATTCAACTTCCCGCTGTAGTACCAGTAACTCCTAATTTTCGAAACACTAGCCTGCGCCGCCGGCTGGATGGATGGATGGAATTTACTTCGCCCGGAGGCGCGAAGCGTAAAGGGCCTTGGCACGCTAACTACACCAATTCGTTGACGTCCAATCATCAACTCGTACTGTACAAGCCCTCTACTCGTTTCCCCTGTCTCACGCCACTGACTAATGCCTCTTGACTTGGGTTTTAGCAGATCGGCTTGGAGGCTGCGTTCTCCAAGTGTTCAGCGTCCTATCTTCAGCAGCTAAAGCGGGACCTGCTGGCTGAGGCTGTGTGGTGTTAGTGGAGCTCCCCTACTGTGATTGTCGCAATCTTCGTCGTTCCTCGTCAAGATCCAATCTCCCTGTCGCCATTGCGTACTTGATCGTTGCCCGGACTGCTTTCATGAGACTGGCGACCACATCTTTGGATCCGATGGTGCTTTCCCTCCCAGGTAGAATGAGAGGCTCCCTCGTCTTGCCACTGTGCATTGCAACATGTCCTCCCTCAGAGCTTCCCATCTCACGCATCGCAATAGAAAATGTTCCACGGTTTCCCTCGCTCGGCCGCAAGGACAAAGGTCTGACTCGACCGCTCCGATTCGGCTTAGAAAGCCGGTCAGCCTCGCCATTCCAGTTCGGAGTTGTGCCAAGATACAGGCCTCTTTTCGTTTCAACTTGTCGTAGAGATCGCGAGTGTGCTTGCCAGGAAGTGGCCACTGCCGGCTGATGGATGGATGGAATCTATTTCGCCCGGAGGCACGAAGCCTAAAGGGCCTTGGCACGCCAACTACATCCGATTCGTTGACGTTCGGTCATCAACTGCCGGCTCTCGTGCAGAGTGTCGACGTGACGTGGGCACGTCACGTGACCACCCCGGTCTCAATCACCTGTAAGTCACCAGCCCACTTTCCCAAACGAGCCCAGACTTTTGCTGCTTCAGTGCACCGATTTTCAGCCTTGTTTGTCGCTTTTTACTAACTTCTAAACTCTCTCTTGAATGCTAACCTGAAGGAAAGAAGCAAAATGGAGCATCAATTGCCTTCAACTTCCTCATTATTTGACAGCCGCATCAACTCTGATGCACATCTCCAGCGGCGCAAGCAGACGCTCGAAAAGCTTATGACGCCTAGGGCCGCGGGCGGCACGGGCTACAGCGAAACACAGTCCGACAGGGTCATCACCAAGAGGGGCTTTATAGTGCTTATGGAGCTGCATCGCAAGAAGTATCGGCCAGAACGGGTCAGCCATGAGTTTGTCTGGCTCTCGACCAGGTCAGAGGTCTGGCATTTTGATAGGAGAATCTGTCGTATTTAACCCTTTCTAACACCTGCTTCCAGTCCAGCTGCATTGTCCTTGGGTGGCAGAGTTCCGCGTGGCCCTCCACAAACTCAAGGCCGGCAACGACCTGGCTGAAAGTCGACCAGAGGAGTACGCCACGTTCTGCCAACGTGCCGATAGCGCGAAGGAGCAAGCACCAAGTCCAATCGAATTGGAAGCGATTCTTGGTGCGATCTTCGAAGGCACTACGGCGAGGATTTGGGATCAAGATTCGATCCAGACATCCGGAGGTTGGTGAACCTGGTCGAGGTCCTGCGATGCCGGCTGGAGCATAAGAACAAGCACGCCGCGGAAACTGTCAACTTCCAGACAAAGCAGATGCTTTCAAAACCACGGTTTCGGACGTCAAGAACCAAGTCACGGAGCTCAACAACGAGCTGCAGAGCCCGCAGTCAAAGTTCGACCGGCTGCATACCACCTTCTCCAATCTGGGCGTCCGCCTGGGTGATAATTATCCTGGTTGACAACTCGAACAGCGACAATAGTTCCGGGTCACGTAAACGCCGCCGCGAATGTTAAGACTCAAGTCTTCGTACGTCGACCGCGAGCAGAGGCCCAAAACTGTGCCGCTTTCAGACTAGCGTCTCCAGTTTCAGGGCCTGCCTGGACGGGAACAAAGAGGACATGGGACATGGATAGCCTCGAGCTCATCGTGGCCGTGATACGCAACCCGGTGTGCCATTCCGCCACTACGCGGGTGGCCCTGGGATGAGGTAGCGTTGCAGTAATACATATCTGCAGTCACTCTACTCAAGTGATGGTGAAGGTTCTACAGAGGGTTGGTGCACTGATAATGCCTACAAGACCTGTGTTTATTGCCTCATCAAGCGACGGAAGCCCAGTGTACAGGCTGAGGCAGCACACGCGTAGAGTTCCAGTGGAATCGCAGCTTCTTCAGTCCAGCGAAAATGACTGATAAGGTCCAGGCGCTATTAATCTCTGGCATCTAATTTCAGAAAGACAGATACACTTTGCACTGCCCCTTTCCTTGCAAGCCCAACAGGTAACGCACTGGCATGATTTGACAGGGACCTGTACTATGCGTAGCCAAAGCCACGTCGTCGTGCAGAGCACCGAGTCAAGTGCGTACGTCCTGCAGGAAGACCTGGGGAGTGGCTGATCCGAAACCTTCGACTATGCCTGAGATAGTTTCCAGCTGTTTGAGCGTAGGTACCTTACAACCATGTAACTGACCCGCACACTGCTCTACCACCCGCGGGGTGCTCCGCGACCCCGGCACCTCGAATCGTGTCTAAAGATAGACCTGTCATTTTTAGTAGATAGCATCACCTCGGCCATACGTCCGCATTTACACATCGAACCAAATCCATCGAGGATCGTCCTGTCGTTATGCCTCCGTGGCTGTAATGACAGCACCATTGCGGCGAGAGGGGCGAACCAGCGGCCGCCAAAACAGCCCTGAGCCACTGCAATGGCTGTGCAAACTTTCTCCTTGTTGGTGTCCTTGGCCTCGCCACCAATTTCCCTTCGACAAGCAAGAACAGGGAAGACGCAATCCCTCGTTGTGGCGTTGTTCAGGCGTCAGCATAGCATGAACAGACCGGCTTCAATGAACTGCTCCATCGACGTCTGACTGCAACGTCCGCCAACATGGAGACGCCCCTGGGGGAGGTATTGCCCAAAGTAATAAGTAGAAGTTCCCGATGCCCAGCGCCTTTTCAGTCGCTTTGATACGAGGTTGGACTCATCAGTCCATCATGTTTCCATGCGAAATGGTCTTCCAGGAGTTTAGCGGCCCTTCTCGGTTCAAGACTGCATAGATCCGGGAGCTGCTCCTCATAGGTGTGCGCTCTGGAAGCGACTTCTGAGGTCATTGTGGTCCCTCGGCTTCCGGGGGCGTATAGCCGGAAGAAATATTATTATTCCTACACCGCTGTGCCCTAGGGCGTGCCGGACCTTCAACAACTTACTATACGAGAAAACCGCGCCCGTGGGCCGGGTGAAAAACCCATATCGACAATCAAGGAAACGATCAGTGTGCGATCCTGCAAATACAAAGTGGGAAGGCCTCTTGGCCTTCGATGGAAAGGGTATCAGACTGCGAACTCCAGCTCCAGCCTCCTGGCCAGACTGTACATCGGTAATTTCCCCGAGTCCATCAGCCAGTCCAGGATCCTCCCCGTTAGCCGTGCAGCTTTGGGACTGATTCCCTG